TGGAAGATTAGGGAGGCTGTGGACATACTCTTTCAGAGAAAACTGATGAACACGAGCTTGGAAGATGGAAGAGTCAGCGAGAATTTTGCGTACTGCCTGGGCAGACTTGGAGATTCAACGAAGACATAAAGGAGAAGACGGTTGGATCCCGGACAATTGTTCCACAACAGAAAGAGACATCACCAAGGAGCGGCTTACGAGGAACAAAGGGAATTCACGAAAAGTAGACTGTAGTGAGAGGAGTCAGACGTGGAATTGGCCCAAAAATTTACCCCAAGGGGCTCATATGTGCGATTTATGGTATGAAATTAGGGGTTTTATGTATAGGTTGGCTTGATAGAGGTCACCAGTGTGTCCGGCGCTGTTTAGTTCATCTTGTGTGTGTGTGTGTGTGTGTGTCAGAAGAGGAGGTGACTTGTGACATGCTTGACCGCAGGGGGTACCGGCCAACGTACACACATGTAAATCGTCCCAGTACTCTGGGTTTAGATGGGAATGCCAACGAGAGACACGAAATGAGTGTGTTTTCCGCGATTTACAGGCTAAAAGCGAATCGGTGCATTCTCACACCAGTCGTCGACTTAAGCGGACACGGGCCCCAACAAAATGAGACAAAATGCGGGTGGGGATGAGGGAGAGGATAATCGAGTCATGGGTTTGGAGCCTATGAAAAGGACGATTCCCAGGCACTGACATCTGCATGGACATGGACATTGGCATCATCTGCTCTATACCTTCGAATATGGCTTACTCGAGGATGGGAATTGAAGGCTCGTAGGCAGCCCGAGTTCGGACAGTGATTTGTAGGTTTAGCAGCGACCAATCGACAGGAGGGTAGGAAAAAAGGGGGGCAGAATGTAGGTCAGGAGCCATTCGACCGGTATTTGGTACCGGCGGTGGAGATGAGTACGCTTCACTGAACTCAACTGTAGCCAAGCACATGTAGGCGACATTGGAGGAAATGCAAACACATAATTGTATGAATTAGGGCAGTAATTCGCAAACTGTGCGCCGCGGCTTCCTTACAGGGGCACCGCGAAATATTTTAAAAGCATCACATTAATTATTAAATATTAATTTATTGTTAATATAGTAACAAAAATAATGAAGATACACGAGTTTTATTTATTTTTATCCCTTACATACGCATAGTCATACTTAGGGTAGGGTGCCATGGAGAAATTTTAATTGAAAAAGGGTGCCACAACTAGAAAAAGTTTGGGAACCACTGAATTAACGAATGGGTCATATGAAATGGGGTTGAGAGAAAGAGATGCGGCATTGGAAGGTGGAACAAAAAATATGGTCGAGAAGTGATGCCAGAACGGTTGAACAGAAAATTGGCCTCTCACCGACGATGCCAGCAAACTTTTGGGAATGTACCCAGCCCATGGTCCAATGCTGGAAATCACGAATATTGTGGCGGAGGACGTGGGACTAAGTATGTTGTACAAGGTCTCCCTGACACTCCGACATTATTGCGAAAACAAGGTCAAACCAAAACACTACAAGGCTAAAGAAGACTGCACAATCTTGGTATTCAAATCTATTATGCCTATTTACTAATTTGAAAGTAGTATGGTCGATTATAATGTACATACTGTAAATATAAATTAGGAGCGCCAGTTTGCCTTAGAAATATCTATTGGAGCCAGGAATGACATGATTACATGTTGTCATGATGTTACTTGACCTGCACGACCCGGTTTCAAATTCCTTTGGGCGTGTTGCTAGAGACCAGGCGAAGTCAAACCTGCAGTCCAACCGAGATTATAAAACCGTGTAAGAGGTACTGCCAAACGCAAACTATGAATTTCATGAGTTCAGGTCAAACGATTCTGGGCAATTTCAACTTTCCGCCCTGGCATCACCACGAGCGCTATTGAGTGGCTTAAGCGCTCATGCAATTTTATCACAATTTCTCAATTTCATGATTCGTTAAATTGTACTTTTATCACGCAATGATTGTCGGATGTCCGCCTTCTAGGCTCCTTGCCTGTGCCCATTTTCAATTAAATTTGCCTTTCTGGTTTAGTGATTGATGAGACTCACTGGTTTGGAAAAGTATTCGCCGTTAAGACCAATTATGTGAAAATAGGAAGCAAGTTGGGCCATATTTCCTATTTCGAGGCGACCTAAAGGCGGGCTTTAGTTCATTTTTCTCCGGCACTCGGGACAGTCAGGTCATTGTAGTGGCCAGACGTATAGACACAACTTTGGTCACATTCTAGTCACGATACGGTCACGGTCACAACCTCAACCACCAAAACGGTCAAAGCCATGATTGCATGCATGCTAAAGGTCACAATCACGTTGACCACAACAAGAGAGGCCAGCTTGAATGGGTGGGTGCGATCACATGCTGTTACATAATCGTTGAGCTTACTTCCATTTCGAGTAAAAGTGTTGGGTGAAAAGATTCGAAGGTCGGTTCCACCAGAAGACGACGGCGTATTCCTCTTGACCAGCTCTCGATTGGCTTTACTCGAACATTCATGCTGACGCTGTTTCCGAGGCAATCTTCTTCGATTCCGGTGAAAAGGTGCTAAGCTTTCATCCGTCACATGACAAACATCATCAGAACAAGGAGAGTATCATCGTGACAACCAAATTCAAGTTAACGAGTCAAGAAAACTTACCGGCAAATACATAAAAAGTGGTAATGCACTCTACATCTGACCTCTTTGATCAAATATAAACTAACCAAATCACTGTATACTTGATCAAAGAGGCCAGATGTAGAGTACATATACCATTTTTTAGGCATTTGCCGGTGAGTTTTCTTGACTCGTTAGCTTGAATTTGGTTGTGACGATGATACCTTTCTCTGATGCCATTCATCGTATGACGGATGAAAGCTTTACACCTTTTCACCGGAATCGAAGGAGATTTCTTCGGCAACAGCGTCAGTATGAATGCTCCTCTAAAGCCAATCGACAACTGGT